GTTATGATTCCTATCTACTTTTTTGTTGCCAAGGATTTTTTAATGATTTTTCTGCCCGTTTTCAACACAATTTATGATCGTTATTTTTTAATTATAATTTTTTAAATTGTTATGTAGCTTAAGAGTTGTTACATAGTTTTTAAGTATTTAAAAGTTTATTGTTACATCAAAACACTCTGTTATAAATAAATATAAAACTACAAACTTAAATAACAATTTTGCAAGTACGAAAAGCTATTGTATATATCAAAAAAATGTTGTGTAGTATTCAGCCTAATTAAAGCGTAATATATAATTTATATGTTATAATATATAAATAATATATATAATTATGTTAAACAAAATAAATCTTAGCAAGAGGTTTAATTTCTTTTTTACAGATATCAATGAGGAAATTTCAGTCCCGTTTAATTGGTAAAAAGAGCTGGTATTGCACGGAAATTTCATCTTTCATTATTTATTTTAAGTACTTTTTGAAATATAGCTTTAGGAAATATTACAGATTTTTCAAAAAAAAAAGCAAAACCATTATTACGGTTGAATGAAATAGAAAATTCTCATTATTAGACCATTCGGCTGTCTCAGTAACATCTTTTTAATCTTTTTTGAAACTCTTCCTGAGCTGTTCGTCATTCTTTACAAGTTTCGATTTAAACGAACATTCAAAATTGAGAACACGTTGTTTCCTTCAAGTTATTCATCCGTTACTACGCAAAAGACTCGGTCGAGAACATGATGTTGACAACCAATAAATTGTGGTTCTTCCAGTTTCTTTTGAGTAAAACATTTTTGTAACTGACTGACAATCCAATTTTTTTTCCAGTGTTTACATTAGTGTCCGGTTCAATAATTTTTATACTCTCGCATAATTTGTATTTATCAAGAATAGCTGTTATACCTAAACTGTTATACCTATACTTAATAGTGGTATCTTCTTTTTCGTTTACTAGATGTATTGCTAGTAAATTAACTTCTCTTTGTTTATTCTTCAGCACTAACACCTCATATTCTTGGTGTCTAATACGTTTATTATCAGTGCAGTGATCATCTTTCTAAATGTAGTGTTTTCTTTATTTTTTCTTCGAGTTTTTTATTAGTTGAACTGAATATAATAGACTGTGATAAATTTTTGATAACTGTCGACAAATGGTTGCTGCTATGCTGGTTGATCACTTTGAAGATGTTACTAACTTGGTTGCAGTTTTGATTTTGCTGTAGTTTTTGCTTTTACTTGCAGACTGTTTTTCTGAATCTTTCTGAATTCTAAGCAGTCGTAGCGGAGTGGTTTGTGCGCTTTCCTCCGAAGCTAGAGATTCGTAGATCAATGCCACCTCTAGGCAAGTTTTATAACATCGGAAAGGAAGAAGGCGTGAACTTCTTTTATAACACTTTTTTGCGGTGCTCTTTGATAAGGACTGTAAAGTCTTCTTAGAGCACCTAAAAATAAAGAAGAAAAAATTTAGATTCTTGATATTTTGCCCTAGACTTGGATTTGTTCTTTTAATGGAGCAGTTCTTCTCTTCCTACGTAACTCATAAAATTGTATGAGATTCATCATCCAGATTGTCTTGTTTCTTTTAGTAGTGAAAGCACTTTTCTTATAGGGCATTATTACGGATGATAATACTTGAATATATTTCTGAAAGGCAACAATAATAAATATAAGTACTTCTATATTATTTGACTACCATCTGGTGAATACAGATTTGTATATAGCTTTTAGCGTTGCTTAATCAGGCAGCTTATAAAATCCTAATTTTATTTCATAATTTCAACTTTTATTAGAGTTCAGAAAATTCTAGAAAGTTTCAGAGATTTCTAAAAATATCCAGAACATTTTGAAAAATGCTAGAAAGTTCCATATGGTTCAAGAGAATTCTAGGCTTCAGAAAGTCATAATGTTACTGTCTGCAAATACAACTTATATTCCATTTTAAAAATTTCGCGTTGTGGGTGATTTTTTTTGAAAATTAATTAGCATAAAAAGCATTTTTATTGCTATTGAGCAAAATTTCATAAATTTATGACAAAGGAAGTTAATTATTTTACAAAAACTTAAGAAGTCATAAGTCTAATATACATAACTATATATATATATATATATATATATATATATATATATATATATATATATATATATATATATATATATATATATATATATATATATATATATATATATATATATATATAAACAATTTAAAATATATTCTACAAAAAGAGTGCTCAATGTTCTTAAAAGAACAGAGCAATTACATATATATATATATATATATATATATATATATATATATATATATATATATATATATATATATATATATATATATATATATATAAACAATTTAAAATATATTCTACAAAAAGAGTGCTCAATGTTCTTAAAAGAACAGAGCAATTACAAATTAGTAGAAAATCAATAATATCAGCAAATTAAAATACAATAGTGTCAGCAAATTACACAAATGTGTGAAAAATTGCAGAAGTTAAGACATGTGACTTCCTGTAATTTAATTTTTGGTATAAATTGAAGTTTTATTAATTTGATCATTCATTTCTGATGAGTCTTTATTGATGAAACACAGTGTTAAATGAGAAAAAATTTTGCTAAGTGATTTTCTACTAATTTATATATATATATATATATATATATATATATATATATATATATATATATATATATATATATATATATATATATATATATATATATATATATATATATATATATATATATATATATATATATATATATATATATATATATATATATATATATATATATATATATATATATATATATATGTATAGTGGCGTAGCTACCATATAGCAAGAGTAGGCAATGCTTAGGGGCCCACATGTAGAGGGCCTTTTGCCAGGTGCTCTTTTCCTAATTTACTTTAATTTTTTTTGAAAATTTTGTCGAAATTGGATTTAAGTGATCAACATCCGTAACTGTAGCCACTGCATCTAGTTGATAGCTTTTAATCAAAATTAACTTCTTGCACTTACATTTCAATAGTTTTTGCGTTTGATCTTGTTTGATCATTAGTAGACAGATTTTGTTATTTATAAATAAATAATTGTATCTAACCCATACTTAAATAAGGATGGTTTAAAAAAATCAAAAACGATGAGTGGAGCGTATGAAAGAAAACTTAAAAAATAAAAAGAAGAAGAATTCAAAAATTTACCAAAACTTGATTTCTTTTGCGCAAAAACAGTGTTGCAAATGTGTCAACGGCAGACAACAATGATAGAATGGTCGATCTGGGGCATGATGATGACATCGAATTAGCAGATACTTTAAAAGAAAGTCAAGAGACAAATAGGAAAGTATAAACAGAAGTGCGAAGCGTCGATAGTATTTAAACAGAAAGAGATGAAATAGTTATTACAACAGATCTGAGGTAATATCAAAATTGAAACATTTCTGATAAAAAAAAGAGATCAATAATAAATCGTTCACCCCATAGATCAAAAGGACCGTTTCCTAAAAATCCTGCTCAACAAAATACATGTTTTAGTGAAATTTATTATTATTCAACAATATGGTCCAATACCACACGTGTGGCTCTGCTATTCCACTGTTTTGGACGCTGCATATTGTGAACCTTGCAGGGTGTTCTAAAATATCAATAATCAATGACGTTCTGGTATAAGAAATTGCCAAAATTTGTCCCCACGCATAAAAACATAGTTGTTCCCAAAAACACATTGAAGCATGTGCAGCACACAAAATGTGGAAAAAAAACCATTGATAAAAATGCTGAAGAACAAATACGATGTAAGGCCACTTTTTAAAAGATGGTTTTTTTTTGGAAGAGGCAGAAAACTAGATCATACAGATCTTGTTAACTAGATCATACAGATCTTGTTAACTAGATGATACAGACCTTGTTAACTAGATCATACAGATCTTGTTAACTAGATTATACAGATCTTGTTAACTAGATCATACAGATCTTGTTAATGATTTTGCAAACGCAAAAACGAGAAAGAAGAACTTTTTATTAACAATATTCTAAACTTGTTACTTTTAAGTAGTAATATTGTATTTTCATGAACGACTAGCTCACAAACTTTTCAGCGTATTAAGTCATTTGTTTTTAATTTTAATTTAATTTTTAATTTTAAACAAATGTAAGCTTTTTCTAGAAAAAAGTTCTTAACTATTGTTACGTCACAAAATTTAATATATCTTCTTTCCTTTCCCTTCTAAAAAAAGCGTCACAAAATCACTAACAAACACCCCCTATTGCATGACCAATTTTGAAACCAATTTTATATTGTTAAATTGTTAAAATTTAAAATGAATTATTAAATAAATATCTTTAAAAGAAATAATTATCCTTAATAAAAAGATACAATGAAGAATATTTAATAAAAAGATGCAACGAAGCATGAAGTAATAATAATACTTATAATTCTATAATGCCAATTTGGCATTATAAAATACCAAATTGGCATTCTAATAATGCAAGGTTGTCATTCTTTAATGCCATCTAGCATTTTAAATTAACATTGCAATTTTCATCACATGACTAGGAATTAGGCATTATAAGAATGCCAGTTTGGTATTCTCAGAATGCTAATTTTAGCAATATCAAAACGCCAATTTAGCATTGTTTTGGAAGGAATTAGACTCATGGCATAGTGATATTTGAACGTTATTATGACATTATCTTGGCATATTTTTAACAACAATGGCTCGAGATTACTCACAACATGGGCTTGAAATTATATTCACATCTTTAATGACATTAAATTGACAAATTAATCAAGTTACACTCTTGAAAAATACCAAAAAAAAAGGAGTTAGTTTCTTAAATTATATTATCATTACATTATATTATATAACTATCATTATAATTATACTTTGTATTACAATTTTTGCTTTTGTTATATGCTAAAAGCTTAATCAAAAATGTTGTAAATAATCATTTCCTAATGTTTTCCTTGACTTTTTTTCTAAAAAGCTGCAAACCTCAAAAAAAAAATTTAAAAATGATCAAGTGGAACCCAATTTAACCATCTTAAAAATTCTTCAAAAGAGATTCTATTATTTCCATCCCGATCAAGTTCTGCTAATGCTGCATCTAACTTGGGCGGATCTCCATTAAGAGATGTAAATAATCGTTTAAATTCATCTCGATCAAGTGATTGATTATTATCAACATCAAATTTTTTAAACATTTCAACTGCTTTCTTCAGTCTTTGATATCGCGGTTTGTTACTTATATTTTTGAAATGTTCGCTGCTTCTTAACCACGAAACAAACTCTTCAAAAGAAATTTTGTTATTTCCATCTTTATCAAGAAGAAAGACATAAACTTCACATTGCTCTGTAGAAAATCCTAAATCTTCTATAAATAAGGCTTTAAGCTCGTCTCTATTTAAATAATTGTTTCTATCAGAATCGTACTTTAAAAACAAGCTTTTCAAAACAATAACAGGAGTGTTGGAGTCAAAATATGTCTTGATTGATACTGCTCGGCGCATTTTTTTTAAAGTAATAACATTTCTGGGTTAAATATTTATAACGGTTATAATCAGGTTTAGCGAAGGCCTGCAGAGAATCTTTTTTATTATATTATGAAATTTTCATTTATTGTAATAAATTCAAATGTTATATTATGTAATATATTCAAAATATCATAAGACTGTGAGAAAAAAACATAATAGAATATTTAAAGATCATAATAAAAAAAAAAAAAAAAATAGAAACTAATGTTTTGTTAAGTTTTTATTTAAAGATAAAAATTTTTTTTAATTCATTTTTTCTTATTTAATTTTTTTTTTTGAAAAAAAATAATAAATAAATAAGAAAAAGTTATAACATTATTAATATTTATATTATAACCATATAAAAATTATAACATTATTAATATTGATATTATATATATATATATATATATATATATATATATATATATATATATATATATATATATATATATATATATATATATATATATATATATATATATATATATATATATATATTAACATTTAGATTGTAGAAATGAAAGTATTTTAACCAGTTTTATTTTATTTTCACTTTAATTTAAACATGATTAAAAAATATCTAAAATATTTTTCTTAATATGTAGTGTTTTTTTATTTTTATTTGGGTATTTAGGAATTCATGATGATTGATAAATTCGCGACTGTTGTATTTCTCTTGTTTAAAAAAAGTTTAAGAAGTTTTTGTCTAAATATATTTTCTCAAACAATTCTATAAATGGTTTTCTCATATATATATATATATATATATATATATATATATATATATATATATATATATATATATATATATATATATATATATATATATATATATATATATATATATATATATATATATATATATATATATATATATAGATTATATTTTTAGGAGTTTTTATGATTCTCAGTTGGATAGTAAATTAATTGTAAAGAAATAATAACAATGATTCCATTAGTTTCTCAGGGAAACCAATAATAAATTCCCCACAATGTTTTTAAAAATTGAAACAGTTTGTCTTTCTAGTTCCGTTGCTTAGCCTGCGTGGCTGTCTGCATGAACTACGGGACTACATGCAGATTAGTATACACATGTTGGTATAAAAACATCAATAGAGAAGCAATGGATTGCGCCATGGCCAGTCCGGTCTCCAAACAGTCCGGTGAACAGTCCGGTCTCCAAACAGCTTGTATCTGAATAAAACGTTAAAGAGAAAAAATTTATAAGTTCTTGAAAAAAATGTTCCAATTGGGAACGTATGTTATTGGACAAATGTTTTAATCTATTAAGGACAACAAAAAAATTCACAAAACGACTGCAGTCTTGTTATGACAGAGGAACTATGCAATGATTGGATCAAAAATTGTGAATTTAATGGAAGAGAGAGCCGTTGTACAGTGCCTCCAAGAAATTGAAAAAAGACTCAAAACATTTAACAATCTAAAAACAACATATTTAATTTGCTTTTAGGGTTTTTTTGAATCAAGGAATTCATTTTTTAATTATTAGTAATTATAATTAATGATTATAATTAGTTATAATTAATTAAATCTGACTACTTTAACCTGAATAATTTCTAAATAAAAAAAAAATGTCTAAAAAAAAAATGTTACAATTTTTTCAATTTTTTTTTTTTTAGGAAGAAATTTTAGGATTATAAAAACACATATTTTTGATAAATTTTTAAATTGCTTATGATAAAAATTAAACTTTTGCATTATACTATAAAAGTCAAAAAAGGATTTTTCATAACAGTTTTTCTTACTTAGTTCAGTCCGCAAAGATTAATAGATTGAATCGTGTTGCTACAGACAAAGTGGGCACATTACGTTTTTTAAACGTTCTTTAGACGTTTTTATTAGGCTTAAACCTAATAAAAACGTGCTAAAAGTTGTTTGTTATTTTAATCAAATTTTAGTTAGAAACTTTGCATTAAATAAAAAAAGTTTATATTAATGGTTTACTTAAATCTTAACAAAATTTAGATGTCTTTAATTAGAAAGTATATGATATTTATTTTAAATAAATAGGCGAGAGTGGGGAAATAGCGAACACAGGGTAATTTCAAACATGGTCAAAACGGTATAATAGAAAAAGATAGTTGACAAATTTTTTTTGTCGTTTTGAGAGGGGATCCCAAACTCAGTTTCAGACGTGCAGTAGTGTAGTGAAACTGCGCTCGTTACTCTTAATAAATTAATCATAACTTAAGTTATGGTTAATTTATTAAGAACAATTGTTCTGATAATTTCATGTAATTCTTTACTTGAGAAACCTTCCCGTTGTAGCTATTATGGATATAAAACCTTTTCTTTTTGTTGTTGTTATTACATAGTACCATAATCAATTAGTTTTTAACACGTATGTCAATACAGCCTCAATTGGTTAATTTTATTTCATTTGTTTGAATCCGCGAGAAAATATTGAACAATCTTTGTGGGGTAATTTCGAACGTCTAAAGTGTCATTGATAACACACGGACGTCAGGCGTCAAACATTCCACTATTATTACTAGTTCGCCAATGAGAAATATTTTAGTGCAAAAGAAAAGTAAGAAGGAAGAAGTAATAAATACTACTCGTAAAAGTAAAAAGAGAAATAAGAACTTTATTCTATTAGAGGTTGATTATATACCATCATGTAAAGAAAAAAAGTGAGCCAGAGGTGATAAAATACTTTTTTTTTAATTTGCAAAGAAAAGTATAAGGACCCACCCACAGAATACTGGAACATGTGTCATAAATGCCGTCCTGGTTGCACAAAAGTGCACAATTGGTAAAAGTACGCCTCAGGGTTTTGATTGTGATTTTTGTTTGTAATTATTTTTTTAAATTTTAATAATTAAAAAATTAAATATTAATTTAAAAAAAGTTTTGTTGTATTAAGTTTCAATCAAAAGTTTTATGATTTGCCCATGGAAGACTGGATTATGTGTTGCAATTGTAAGGCCCTGGTGGAGGCGAGTATATCCTGAGATTTTTTCTGTAATTTCTGCACTTAATTATTACAATTAGCATTTTGTTTATTATTACGCAACAGTGTTTATGAATACCCTAAGGTGTTAAAAAAAACATGCATATGAAAATGAATTACATAAGAGTACAGGTAGATACGCTTTAAAAACACCTTAAAAGCTACAAAGTCATAATTGATGTTCTTCACGAGCACTGTTTGATCTTAAGCGCATAATATTCTTTGTTTTAAGACTTTAGATAATTTATCTCTTTAAAAAATTACAAGTTAGACTATTTTTATTTTTAGAAAATGAAATAAAGAGTTTAAAATTTAAAAAAGAATTAAATATATACTAAAAAACCACACTTTTTGGCAATTGCTAAACACCATTTGAAAAAAAGTTTGCAATTCCTTGGTTTATAGATATCTACTTTATTGCTAAAATTAAAAACAAAAAAACGTTATTCAATGTTCTTTTCAGGTTGACGGAATGAGCTTTTTACTAAAAGTAGAGATGCTTTTTACTATAAGTAGAGATGCTAGTAGTTTTTAAGGGGGAACTAAAGTAAGCACAAACATTGAAACACAAAATCTAAATTTCTTTTCAGAATGAGTAAGTTACATTTCAAAACAACACAAAACATTTCCCTAATCAATGTTATTCTTTTTCTTGTCATTTAAATTGTTTTTATATTTAGCATTTGTTTTGGTTGATGTTGCTAGATTAATCATTATTGGCTTTATTCCATTAACCCAAGCATATACTTTGCTGCATATTGATTTTTTTATTTTGTGGCAGACTGGGCATTCTTTAAAACTCTTTACTGTACAAATGTCATTGCAAACGCACTTAAATTTACATTAACAAAATTTTTCTTTTTCTTTATCTTTTTATTGTTTTTTCTTTTCCTTTAGATCCTTTTTTTATTTTTTCCAATTTCAATCAACTCAACCTGTTTTGTGATATTTTGGGCTTCATGTATGTTCGTGACAGGTATATTTTTTGTTTTTTTTATGTGTTTCGGCTTTTACCGTTTACTGTAAGCAAATCTGGTATATCTTCTAAATTTAAACTTTTCTCATAACTTTCTTTCATAATCATCTGTGAATGCTTGAACATAACTTTCCAATAGTTTGCCAATCCATAACAATGTGTTTTTGCTAATTTGAACAATGAATTTGGAATAATCGGAGTTAACAAGACATTTGCTGATGAGCGTGTGCAACTTTTCTTTGGTGTACTTGGAACAAAATTGGCTAAAGACTCTTGCTCCTGATTTTGAACCACACAGTTTACAGCCTGTTGAAATTTATCCTTTTTTTTTTTCATGGAGGAAATATAAAACATTGTATTTAAATCCTGTACTTTGTTCATCTGCTACCAATACAACAGGTTGCTGAATGTTCTCTTCCGACAAATATATATCAAACTTTTTGCCCAATAAAGTCCAATAAAGAATGATTATCCTGGCTTCCTTTTTCAGTATATGATGATTGAATTTTTTATATTTTTGACAACTGTTTTTGGCGCCATATGACTAGTAAAACCTTTACCAGCAAAATTAACTTGTGAAACAACAATTTTACCTAAAATGTTAAGGTATATATAAATAAAAATTAAAATACAATAATAATACTACTTTTGATTAAACTTATGTCCACCGTGGTTATAAAACATTACTCATTAATACTAATATGGTTAACTAACAAATTCACAGTAATAAAAACATGTTGATTTTTTTTTTAAATAAATGCAAATTACTACATTAGTATTGTTATTTACACAAAAAAAAATTTATTATTACCTGCCAATGAAACAACTGGGCATATTTTTATTGACGATTTTCCCTAATCATTTATTGTTACAAGGTTCTCAACGTGCAACATATTCAAGACCGGAATATGTTGCACGTTGTAAAATAATTGGTACATTTCCTTGTCTTTATAGAAGTCATGGTGCTCTGCTTCCCGTCTTGCCAAAACGACTGACCAAGCCTATAATAAATTTTAAAAGTTGCGTTTAGTATACGGTTATATAGAAATTATATGAAATAGTATTAA